TGCTGTGAAATCATGGGAAGCTATTTTAAAAGATTCAGTAGTTTCTGAAAAGCATTTGCCTCAGGGAAAAACAATCAGCAGACTGGCCTAGTGGGACTTTCCGCGAAGTGCTGCCCCCAACCCCCCAGGAGCGCCCCACTGTGTGGCTCTCAGCTCTGGGGGCAGTGCAGGTGTGCCTCCTGCGGGCCTCCCTCCCCTCTTGCCTTCCACTCCGCCCCTCCAGGTCCTGCTGCTGCCCAAATCCGAGTGAGATCTGGGAAGGGCTCTGGTGCAGCCATGTGCCCACACAAGAGCAGCACAACAGGCCGACTGTGCCCACAGCCAGGCGTTGCCCAGAAGGCACACCCAAGAAAACATTAAGGTGAACCTTCCGAGGGCCCCGGGAGATGTGCCCAAGAACCGGAAATGGCCACCCCAATGGAGAAGAACTTAAGTACAAGCTTCTTTCAACTTTCAACATTTTAGAGCCAAAAAAACACCCTGGCATGGATTTAGGTAGAAGGGAAAATAGAAAGAACATGGAGCCCCCACCTTTCTGTGTGGAGGAACCAATTTTTATTTCTCTTAAGTTTTCAGATGGGGAAAGGGACCAGGTGGGTGCAAGTAGGGCTGGGGGTGTGAGGTCACAAGCACAGGTGTGGGAAAGGAAAACGGCCCCCAGGTGATACACCACTGATGAGGCTCCTCGACCAGCGGACAAGGGTCCCCGCACTGCAAGATGTAAACCTCCCGGAACCACTCCTCTGGAGGGCGTGCTTGAGAAGACAGGAAGGGCCCCGGCTAGAAAGTTGGACGCAGCATAATCGCTCTTAAGGAAGGATTCAAAGTTCGCAGGAAAACAAAAGCCCCTCTAAGGCAGACCGATAACCTCCAAACTCCAAAGATATCTAACAGTGCAGAACATCAACCGTGCCAGGGCTGGCTTTCCTCCAGCAGTGGGGGAGGCCCATGCCTGAAGATCAGGATTACAAGTGGCTTAGATTTTGAAGTCAGTTGCTTAATTTTTATTTTATACAACGTTCTGCTAACCTTTGCCAGATTTCACAAAACAAATTACTTTCGTTTCTGGTCTCTATACTGGAAAAATCAAGACAAGCTTTCTTAAAGAAATAGCTTCTAAAATCTTGCTGTTGGTTAAAATTAGCTACTCTCTTTCTGTCCTATGCCTTTTTTCTGGTTTAATTTCAGCAGTTTTCTTAAAACTCTAGCTTTATGGAGCACTTTTTAGACTGGCCTCTGTGTTTGTAAAACTCAGAAAATGATTAACCAATTTCTTCTTTCCTAAAAACACCACTTCTTTGCAAAACGAAAAAAAAGGTTGACAAAATGTTGCTTAAGATAGAATTTATTTCAAAGAGAGTTCATTCATTTTCTGGGTGGAGTACTTCAGGCCCAAAAAAAACCACCTAACTTTAAAAAACCAACCACACACCCCCATACACACTCTGGCCTGGCCACCAGGGGAAGCAAAACCTGAGAAAGAAAGCAGGCAGCTGCTGGGAGGGCAGGCGGGGCTGTTTACTCGGGAGAATGTTCCAGCAGGTACAGCCACTCCTAAAGTCTTGGAGGGGACAGAGCTCAGGGCGGGGTGCTGGAGAAACCTGGCTCCAGGGAGGAACCCGCCCACTGAGGTCCCCACACTGCGCGGCGAGCGGGCGATGGGGGGGTGCAGCGCAGGCCACCGAGTCAGGAGAAGCGGGGGCGCCCTCGGCCTCCTCACAAAGGCACCCGTGGCCCCCAGAACCCGCTCCTGCACCTCCTGATGTGGGCCCTCCCCCGTCACTTTGGGAGGGTCCCCAAGGAGAGGAAGGCGCTGTTTGTAAACACGTGGGCTCCACCCCATGAGAGAGCACAGAGGAGAAGGATCTTGCAAGCAAAACCTCAAGGGCCTCTGAGGTTTCTCGACACTTAATTGAATTCCGCAGGGCTCAGATAAACGGATGTAAACAGAAACGCTTTTTCTGTGATGCTTAATAAAAAGCCAAAAAGTAAGAGAGCCAGTCCCAAAGTTACTATTTTCTCCACAAATATTCTCCCAGATGAAAACTGGAAGCAAGTCCCTCCTGGGCGTCATCAAAGAAGGGGATGGAGGGGGACCAACCACCCACCAACCGACCCCAGCTGAGGATCGAGTTAAATATAAACTGCTGGGCCAGGTCTCCACCGCAGCCACACCGCCCTGACTTCTCAGAACAGCGCTGGCAACACCTGCTCCACTCTGCTTAGTACAAATCTCTCTTCCTACCTCCTTTCTGAACCACCGCCTCCCTCCTGACACAGGAGCAACTTCAATACACAAAGCTTTGCGTGAATATCTTAACCAGTTGGCCACTATTTTCATTTGGAATATTCCTGGGAAATATATTTATTTTATGAAGCCTTCCAGGTACCAAAACATTTTTCTTTCTTAAAGAGCGTCTATTTGGCTGGATTATAAACTGATTACCAATAATCCCATGCCAACCCAGGGAGACCACCTGCTTTGGTTTCCACTGGACGTGGAAGGCCCCTCGCTGCCCATCGCACACAGCAAAGGACAGGCCTCCAAGAGCTCTCAGGTCCCAGCAGGGCATGAAACACTCTTGGCTATGATCCCACGGCCGCTTGAAGGAGCTACTGGATAAACGTGTCAGGACACGAAGGTTTTTTATCGGCTTCATGAAATACAATTCACACACTATACAATTCACCTGTTTAGAGTGTACAATTCAGTGGTTTGTAGTGTATTCACAGAGTTGTGCAACCATCACCACTATGTAACATTTTCATCACCCCAGAAAGAACCCCAGTAACAGTTAGCAGTCACTCCCTTTAACGCCCCTGGCAACCACTCACCTACCTTCTTTCTCTACAGATTTGTCTGTTCTGGACATTTCCTATCAATGAATCATACAATGTGTGGTCTTTTGTGTCTGGCTTCTTTCACTTCACATGTTTTCAAGGGCCACCCATGTTGTACCAGGTATCCGTACTTCATTTCTTTTTATGGCTAAATAATATTCCATTGTAAGGATATTCCACGTGCTATTTATCTACTAGTCATCTGATGGACATCTGAGTTGTCTCCACGTTTGGGCTGTTATGAATAGCACTGCCATGAGCCTTTGGGTACAAGTTTTCACTGGACCTTATGACCCCGTGAGTTGCAGAGTCATGTGGTAACCCTTTGTTTAACATTTTGAGGAACTGCCAGACTCTTTTCCAAAGTGGCTACAGCATTTTACTACATATAATTTTTTATCTATGTATCATTGATACATGTATAAGGAAATGTAAGAGCATTTTCATAGCACAACTTAATCGCAACCTCCAAGTACTCATGTTTTAGGTTAAATTCAAGTGAAATGTCTGAAAGAACAACGAGAACATGCTAAATTTGGGGTTTTAGAACAGCTATTGCTAGAAATCTGAAATGAGCTTAAGAAAAAACCGGCTGTCTCATGAAGCTGTAAGGACTAAATGAAATAACGCATGTACAGAGCTAACCAAGCACATGGTCTAGCGCACACGAGGCTTTCAGTGAGTTGTTATCGTCGTCATCACAGAGAACTAGGACATCAGCATGCTGGCTTTATCGACGAGGAAAACAGGGCCCAGTGAGGCTGCAGACCTGCCCCCAGTTCTCCCACTAACTGGAAATATGGCCAGAACCAGAACTTAGGGCCCAGAGTGGAGTTCTGGGCCATGCCATGCTCAGTGCTGTCCCTGAACTTGCTCTCCATGAGAGAAAGACACAGCTACTCCCTGGCTCTGCAGGCAACCAACTCCAAGCAACTCAGTGCAAACGAGTCCCATCTCGCAACCAACATGTCCTGGTAGGAGACCAAATGGCACACGTGAAACACTGATTATTATGCAAAGGCAAACCAATGTGTGATTCTACATGTAAACCTTTAAAAGGCGCAAAAAACAGACTACCAGAAGATGGCTGGTTAGCAAGAGCAGGGACTATACCTTATATACAGATGAGACGGCAGCAACAATAAACTTTCGCTCAGCCAGAGCAGCGGTTCTCAAAGTATGGTTCACAGATGGACCCTGAGAATCCCTGAGCCCCTTTCAGGGGTATGGGAGGTCAAAACTATTTTCCTAACAATATTAAGATGTGATCTGCCTTTTCCACTGGGCTGACATTTTGCACCAATGATGCATAAGCCGTGGTGGAAACTGCTGGTGCCGCAGCAGAAACTAAGGCATAGTTGTCATGGCTTCTTCAGGGCCACACACATGCAGCAAGGAGAAAAAGCTAGTTTCATTTTAAGATATCCGTGGTGAAGCAGTAAACTATGTTAAAATTCTTTAAATCTTGACTCTCAAATATATGTCTCTTCAACCTGCTTTATGACAACGTGGGAAGAAGGCACAGGACTCCTGTTGTAGACTGAAGCAGAATGGCTGTTGGAGGAAGTCCTTGTGCCACTGAGCTGACAGCTCAACCACTTTTACAAGGATCTCTAGTGACACGTGTCACCTTGAAACCTTCCCCCAAGCCTTTGTCATATTTCTATAACTCGCCAAGGATGAGAAAGTTTGAGGACTTTCCTTTCTTCAAAATCTAGACTAATTTCTAAAACTTTGCAAAGAATTTCCACAAATAAAGTTTAGAAAAATAAAGTTCACCAAATCCTGGCATACAAAGATTACTTTAAAATATTTTCAATGTTTTAAAAATGTCATACCTGTGCTTGCTTTAAAAGGCTCTAACAGATACACATTCAAACTGGAAAAATGATTCATTAGGTAGTGATTCTTCACTTTGTAAGAGAATTCTCCAGAGATTTTACTTAAGTAGTCAGGTCCCCTGAGGCACTTAAAATAGTTTCAAAATTTCCATTTACATGCAATTTTCCAGAAACACATCTAATACTGTATAGAACACAGAATTTCTGCATTGTCTTCCTCTTTCTCAAGCTGCTAGAGCGCAGGGCCCTGATTTTGTAGAGGAAATCGTGTGGCGAGCACTCTAAGCGGCCCGGGGACGGGCCGAGCAGGCTGCTCACCTGATGGTGCCGGTCGGGGAAGGGACAGGGCTGACCAAGCTCCGGAGATCCGGCTCCGGAATGTGAATCTTCAGAGGGGAGATCTGCGGGTAGAGTGGCCGGAGGGGGGATGCTGGAGCCTCTTCTTGATGGTACAGTGATGTGAACTGGATCTTGATAGCCGTGCTAGGGAATCGGAAAGTGCACCTGCAATGGAGGGAGAGCGAGATGTTAGGCATGGGAAGAAAAGAAAGCCAAAATTCAGTAAAGGAATGTTCTAGTTCACCTAAGTCACTGTAACTTATGTGACTTAACTCGCATGATCACTCTGTGGTGCAGAGGTGCCAAAAATCGTATTCCTCATGATTTCATTAGGACACGTACTATCACTGACACCAGTTTTCCTTTTACTGCGCATGTGAACAGAACAGACACACATATCCCCAGACCAATACCTATGACGTCATCTCCAACAAAGGCTCCAGACAGACAGAGCTACTTCCAGTCTGCTAGGATCACTGCCGCAACGCCCACGCGGGAGTCACCACCCCACAGAGAACTGAAATGCCAGGGTCACCGCCTCTGCAGCGATTTTAAAGACAGATGTCCTGCTACTCAGATGACAGAAAGCAGCTGTTGCATGAAAAAGCAGCACCACCACGCATAAGCCTGCTGGCAGCAGTCTCCAAGAGGGACAACGCTGTGAGGCGGAGCTTAAGGACTGGCTTCACGATCAGTCCTGGCCTTCGACCCCTCGCGCCTCGGGTCTTCCACTGGCAGATGACCACATGCAGACAAACCCAGCGCTGCAGGTAACGGTGCAGGCAGCCTCACACATCAGGTGCTGATGGACCTCTGAGAAACTTCTACCTATAAAGTCTGCACATTATTTATCCAGCACACCTTCTAATTTCTAAACTCACAGGCTATCAACAAGTTGCTAAGGGCACTACCTAGTTAAAAACAAAAACAAAAACCCAAATGAAAGCAGGCTGCCCACAGAGAGACAAGCAACACAGTCCACCTGGAACTGTTTAGAAAGGCTCTTTGTAAAGAATGGAGGGGTCAGAAATGACGCATGTGAACAGCCATCTTTGCACTGTTAATTGTTTCAGAAAGGCGTTGGATCCACCAAAGGATTAGCACTCGACAAGTGTCTGTCAGAGTGCCCCTGGGTGGAAGCCCCAGCCAGCAGGCTGCCTGGCCCATCCTGCCTGTATTTTTAATCTGGTACCAACGTTTAAATAGCAAATCTACCTCCAACTTCCCATGGACACGGCAAACACCCCCTTGATTTGAATTCCCTTTTACTCTTAGTAAAAGAGTTTTTACAAAACAAGACTTAGGGGCCAGCCCCGTGGCCTAGTGGCTAAGTTTGGCACGCTCCGCTTCAGCAGCCCAGGTTTGGTTCCCGGGTGCAGACTACACCACTCATCGGCAGCCATGCTGTGGCGGCAACCCACATACAAAACAGAGAAAGACTGGCACGGATGTTAGCTCAGGGTGAATCTTCCTCAAGTAATCAATCAATCAAATGTATAAATAAGACTTAAGAACAGGTCGAAATAAGTTCTGAGATCATGGAAGGCAGTGAACGGGCACCCTACTGGGCAACAGGGGTGCTCTTGAGCCTTCCGCTTGGGAAGACCCACTTCTCATGAAATGACTCAGCGATCTAAGCATCTACCCTGAAAGCCAAGCTGCCCACATTTCATAGAGAAAAGGAGTAACTCAAACTGGCTTGACTGGCCAGGACTGATCCTTCCAGAGATATCCGAGCAGAGACGGGCTGGACGTCACCACAAAGGTAGAGCCTGCAGCTGGCCGAGAAGCACCAGGTCACTGGCTGACCCCTGGGTACTAGGTTTGTATTTCCAATCTAAAATCAGAACAAAGGGATTTTGATTACTGTTTCCTGAAACTGTTTTCCTATTTGATGCTGTTCTGATCCTGGGAGATGTGGCCTAAATACCAAAATGTTAAGGATGGGGTGGGGGTGTCTGTAACATGTAGTCAACATCACCCCTATGGTTCTGCGTAAAGGGCCACCCAAGGCTATCTAAAAATATTCTGCAGTTTTCTTCTTGTAGGCTATAGTTAAAGAAATGTTTGATGTCTCCATTTTCTTTAGTTTCTCCACAACCCAAGGAAAATTTTCTCCATCAGTATTCTGGCTAGATTTTCTACATCATGCATTTTTCTCAGATGCTTTCTGAGGCCTATGGTCCCTACAGTCCTGGAGGCCTCTTGGCTTTTGTAAGTCACAGAGCCAACACCCACCCCAGCTGTGTCCCAGGATGGGCAGGGTGTCCCCGAACCAGAGCAGTGAGGAGAGGGTCCGGAGCCAGGACTCTGGCTGAGGGCTCCACACAGGTGAGCTGATGGGCTAAGGCGAGCTCCACCTGCAAACGAAGGACTGAATGAACAGTGGGGGTGTGCGTACACATGCGCACACACACACCTGTTCTACCAGTGTCAGACATGAAAGCAGTAATGAGGACAGAAATTTAAAGAGTTTCTATGGCCTCCTCCTTCAACTGCTGCAAATGAACAAAACAGGCAACGTTTTACTATCTGCCGACAGGGCACACAGTTAGGGTTCTGATGTTCTGCGTCGTGCAAGTCCCTACATTAACACGAGATCACATCACCCTACAATCACCAAGGCCAAGTAGAAAGAGGATGTGGCTTCTGGCCCATGACAGTGGTCACCAGGCAGACAGGAACTCTTAGAAAACAGGGTTGGGGTGAAGACAAGAAGAGGTGCCTGAACCTCTGGATGGGGGCAGGACACCAGGTTCTCGTCAGGCCTGTCTGGCCTGAGCGGAGGTGGAGAGGTGCCCGAGTGAGCACACCGCACACGCTTCAGACCCCTCCTCCACTTCCCGGCCTGACTTCTGCCCTCAGGGCCCTCAAGGGGCTGAGAATCATCCCAGTGATAATACGAGCATACAGACTGAGGTTCAGGTGAAACAAAACACAAGGTCAGGGATTTGGGTACATCCTTACTAGCAAAATCTAACACCGTACTGATACTAGCTGGACAGTTTCCTGTCGTAATAGTAATTTTCCAATTAAGGTTTAACAATAAACCTTTTTATATTATTTACTGCAAAAGCTATTTTAAAAGCATCTGCTGACTCACTCTTCCAGAAATTATCCTGAGGCAGACTATGTTCTACCTAGGAGGAGGAGAGAAAACACCAGGAAGTTACTTAATTTTAAATAGATGTCCCCCCAGGGTGCTGGCGGAGTTCGCCAATTACTTCTCTCCCTGTAATATTTTCATTCTGGTGTAGGGCCTTAGCTGGAGTTTTAATGAGCATGTTTTGCAATTAAAGCTATTCTCTTGCAGGTGCTCCATGTTCAATCTACACCCAACCACCCACTGCGGGCCCGTCTTCATTGCCAGGAATCCTGCTAAAGGTAAGAATGTGCCCCCTGGAAGTCACTGTCCCCCAGCCCAGGGGAGGGCTCCCGCACAAGCAAGCATCTACCCTCAGAGGGATGGCCCTTCAGATCTCTCTACAAAATGCCTGCCCTAATGTATAGAGGCAGAAAGCAGAGCAGTGGTTGCCTAAGGCTGGGGGGAGGGGTGAGGTGGGGAATGGAGAGTGACAGTTAATGGTTTCTTTCAGGGGAGATACAAATGTTCTAAAACCCATGGTGGTAATGGTTGCACACCTCTGTGAATACACTAAAAACCAATGACTTGAACAGTTGAACTGGGTTCGTTGTATGGCATGTGAATTATACCTGAATCAAGCTGTTTTTCAAGAAGTTCTTGCCCTAAAGCTCCCATGATCGGGGTCTGCTCCAGTCTTAGTTCCCAGGTCCATGTGGAAGCCCAGGGCTCCTGGGAATTGAGCAAAACTGCTAATGCCTTGGTTCCACGCCAGGCTGCCCTACTCAGCATCAGGTCAAGGTCACCGCAGGGCAGGTGGGATCCAGCCCCATGAGACCATTAATGAGTAAGTGACTTGGGCCATCACCCTCACTTCCATCTCGTCCTCATGCGGGAATCCTACCACCTGTCACACCAAGCAGGCGTTGTCAGAGAATAAAAATAGCTCATTTAGTCCTCACTGATATAAATACAATTAACTTATTTTAGACAGGAGAAATAACCAGAGAGAGAAGAAAGCACATGTGAAGGTTTCCAGAAAGATTAAAAAAAAATTCACACAATAGATTATTCATCTCCAGAGCCGTCACTGCCCCCTGACACCCCAGCCTGGGCTCCTTGTCCTTCTCTGTCCCAGCAGGTGAACCACAGAAGCCTGCACTTGGGGGCACTGACACAACAGGGAGTGACACTCCACACTGAAAATGGACGACGACTGAAGTTCTGCTCACCAACCATGACACCCCGACTCTCCCAACACACCCCAGCTGAAGATGGCCCAGAGGATAGCTGCAGACCCGACATTTGTGGGCCCCCCATGAAGCCCACCAGACAAGGAGCCCACCCGCCGAACACCCAGGCACACGTGGCAGCTGACCAGCTTGAGTACCTCACTCTGCAATGTGGACACACAGCCAGGAAAGAAGAGACGTCTGGGGAGCATCTCCAACAGGAAGACAAGGACCAAGGCAAACAATGGGGGGGGGGGGACACAGAGGAAAAAGACATCCAGGGGCAGAAGAGAACGCAGCCCACCCAAGCCCCCGAGACAAGAGAGGGCAGCTGCCACCAAGGACTGAGGGCACCAAAAGGTACCTCTGGGGAAAAACAAGAAACCTGGACAATTAAATGTGACACAGGAAAGACAACTTCAGAAGGAAGGCTGGATGATGGACTTGGAATCATCTCCCAGAAAAGACAAAGAAAAGAAAGCTTTGGAGGCTTGGGCCAGGAGGTTTAATACCTGATTACCGTTATTCTACAGAAGATGCCCCTCATAGGAAGCTCCAGGGAGGAAGGCATGGGATCCTAAAACGCAGACCCAGGCATCGTGAAGCCGCCACGCTGCTTCCTAACCACTGTAGAATCGGTGTTTGCTAGAAGTTGAATGGCACAGTCACAAAAATTTAAGACACAGGGAGCTCACTGCTTTGTGTTTAGGAGGTAAGGACACGAATGTTGCAGGCTAGAAATCTGGTGGCCTTTCGTGTGCTGGGCAAACCTTCCCCTGCGGTACCTGAGCATGGACCCGTGTGGACAGAACCCGCCACCATGCCAGGACTCGTGGGGAAACTCCATGTTG